CCCCAAAACCCCAAAACCCCAAAACCCCGGACAGTGATTGGTTGGTTGAAATTGGCCAAAATTAACTAGAAGTTAAAATTTTCTTCTAAGCTCGATATTATGTGGTCTCTGAATCTTTCTCAGTTGATTAGGACGAGGCACCATTGACATGCTACTTCTGCTCAGACTCGATGGCTGGTCTCGGAGACGGAAACTCAGACCACGCCCATGGCCTCCTTGGACCTGAGGCCTTTTACGAGTTGGAGGTGTCTTCTTCAAAGTAATGCTTTTCTGACTTTTGCTGGCGGTTCTCTTCATGATGAACACAACCACTGATTTGATCAGGAATATGAATCATACCACTCATCCTATTGCTGATGAAGCCATGAATATTGAAATGTAGAAGTCTTCATAGAATGGAGTCCAGTCTGGCTCTGTGTTTAGCCATGATAAGGAAACTGCCAAACAGCAAAACAAGCTCTGATTCACAACCTCAATAATGTTGTCTTGAGAGCTCTGGAATGGCCTGACAATTACCAAGTACACTCCGAAAACAATGTTTAACAAGTAGAAGTAAGTAGATTTGTAAGATGCAGCTACTGACTCTCCGAATACCAACAGGGAGGATAACAATAGCCTCAGCAGCATAAACAAGCTAGAGTAGAGTTTGGAGTATGTTGCTGCCTTTATTCCATCAAAGTATTCAGTGCATGGCCAATACTTTTTATCTATCTCCGGGAAAGATTTAAAATACATATAGAATGATAATAGAAATAGCACACTTGTTCCCATTGCAAACAATATTCAAAACCCAAAGGATACTCCTGTGACAACCGTGTCAAGATTGAGAGTGTAAATTTCTGCAAATATCGAGAGACTGGTAAAAAGGAAAGCCTCCATGAATATCCTGATGTATATATTAAACGTGAAGAATATGAACAATTTCTTGAAAAACTTCCTGAGTTTTTTATTTTTGGATTTCTCTGCTCAAGAATTGCACCAAAATATTAACATATGAACTACACCGATGAGGATAACGATAGCCATTAATGACAGATAGTTCACAACTGAGCTTCCAGATCTCATCCCAAGACTATTCAAATATTCATCAGGCTGAGGGTAGGACACCCATTCAGTAATGTCTTCAACGAATGGAATATCTTTGAATTTAATAAAGTCAAATGATAGCAGCGAGAACCCCATTTGATCCAGAAAGTCAAGCACTTTGGGAGAAAAATAATCAGGAACCATAGGTAATAGTATCGAAAGCTGCAGATTATTCAGGATACAAAATATGGAGTTAGGAGATGAAAGAGAAAGAAAAGACGAAGCACTCGCCATCACCATACTTGTTATAACTAAAGCAGTGGCTATCTCATTGCTTTTATCTAATATTAATGAGCCAACAGAAGATGAACCAGCATCAGATGGAGGAACTTCATTTGTCTGATTTGATTGGTCTGTTTGATTTGTTGAGTTCAAGGGTGGAATCTGAGATCATGTATTCTGATCTTTAGATGTCTGATATCCACCTTGTCAACTACCTCATAAACTTGAGTCTCCAAGTTGACATACCTCACAATTGGGGATGTTTCATTCTTCCACTGTGATCTCAAATCTCTTATAATGGACTTCACTAGCATAAGCAATCTTGAGCGAGAAGTAGAAGGTTTGTGTAACACTGAGTTTTGGAGTTTTATTCAGAAGCATCTTTTGATTCACAGTATCCAACTGCACCCAGGTAGGAATTGCATGAGTTCCTGTTTGGGCTAAGCTGAAGGTGATAGTGGTGTAATTGACTGCCTGGGCTCAAGCCCAGATGAAGTTCACTTCGGCTGTAACGTTGCCCTGGACTAACTCAGTATGGTCCTGATTCCACAAAGCAACATAAGTCGTGATAGGAGGGTTTGTTGCAGAAGTAATGTCTGTAGCTGTTATCGAAATAGAAGTTGAGGCAGAAATTGAAGTTGTACTCGATGTCAGACTAGGATTTGATAGTGTTCCAGACACTTGGTAACTAGTAGTAATAGGAATAAAAAGAGGAGCCTCTTCTATTAATTGTGGAAACTGGTCAATATTATTTGCTGGAGACTTTGCTATAAAATATGGGGAAAAAGACATATTATCTCCTCATTGAATCAGCAACTCAATTCCCTCTGCAATAACTCCTTCGATAGCATATGACCGAGTGTTTATCTGTCTATATTCTTTATAAATACCTGTGTTATCTTTTTTAAAACAGAATAAATCTTTTCTGGTTGAGAGGTGTTCCAGGTTGTATCTGTGTAGCAACAAATTTATTAAATTCTCTGATTGTATAACTACCACTCAACCCACTTCCATGCATAATAAACCCTGGGTTTTGAGGAGTCCCATCAGTTGCATTTAATTGGTGGAAAATCAACTTGGAATGATAATAAATCATTGTGAATATCCATTTCCCATTTCGACTTAAAATTGACGCGCTTACTGAATTTGTTCAACTTGAAGTTGGGCACGCAATACTTTTATTTCCAAACCAAGTTGGATGTATCTGAGAAGTTATAATTGACCAAATAGTATTCGTTAACTGAAGAATCAACTGATGCAAAGAACAACAGCTCACTACTAATGGGAACAAAGTTAGCATAACTATTAACTCCAAAGCTTCATCAGTCAAGATTAGAGGTAGTAATATTCCATCTACATGTGTGCATAACTGAACTTCTCTCGATACTTAAGAAAAGGTTTTCTTTGATTTGAATAACCATAAACATAGACTCCAAAAAGGAAGGAATTGATAAACTTCTTGTTATCTGAAGATTGGCAGTGTTAACTTCATATATTTTGTTCGTTGTCTTATCTGGAAAATAAAGTATATCTCCATTTTCATTTAATTCGCATGCAATGTAAGCTAAATCAATTACATATGTCATAACTTTCACTCTCAGCAAGTTGATATCCGATTTATAGATGACAGCTCTCACAGGGAAAGTTCCGGTATAATATGTCCCAACAAAATAGAGTAAATCGTTCTCCTGATCTGGTAGAATTTTCTCCATAGTGTGTGCTAGTGCTCCAGGTACTCCGAAACTTGCTGCCTTTGGTGCACCCATTGATCTGGTTTCATCGCTTCATAAATTAGCTGAAACAGAGAAAACATATAATAGCAGTATGAAAGTAATCTTCATCTTGATATTAATTATTATTTGTAGCAGTAATGTCAATTTATGCTTTTAAATATGGGGTTTTGGGGTTTTGGGGTTTTGGGG